GGTTTAGGGTTTAGGGTTTAGGGTCCAGGTTCTAGGGTCTAGGGTCTAGGGTTTGTAGGGGAATGATGACTGCTAGTATTCCCTTAGGTTCTCTTTATATTTATACTACAATTACCCCCAAGCACCCTATTCTAATTATTCAGGCCCCTACATCACGGCCCTTGGGACACTTGTATTTTCCCTTTATTGGGGTTTAGGGTCATGTTCATTAAATATAGGATCATATTCAGGGACATTTTTGAGAGGATTTTGAGGGCCATTACTTGGTGCTGTAGCTTGTCTTGGTACTGCAGACAAGTTGGCCGCTTGATAGTGGATTTGGCCTTGTAGATGCAACGTGTGTTGCAGACGGCACGACATTTGGGAGTGTGCGTTTTGGCTGTTTCTAGATGGGGTTGAGGAAAGGTAGTAGGGGTCGTAGTGATGAAGCTTGTTTGCCGGGCTGTGCTTTTGGGATACCAGTCCAGGCCAAGCGAGAACCGCGGGCTGCGGGCTGTCACAGGGCTTCTGATAGTGTTTAGGGTTAGGGTTTAGGGTTTAGGGTTTAGGGTTTAGGGTTTAGGGTTTAGGGTTTAGGGTTGTGGTATGATGAGAGGCTTTGAGAATCCAAAGCGCAATGCACCATGTCCAAGTAGAGCAGGCCGCCAAGCTGTTTACCAAGATGGTGACCGCGCGGGTCACTCCAGCCGCTCTGCTGCAAAGGAGCTGCTCTGCAATGAGGTCTGTAAGTAGTTTAGGGTTTAGGGATTAGGGTTTAGGGTTTAGGGTAGGAATCATTTGGGTTACACTTCTGGGGTCGTCTCCGGGAACCTGGGCTATCAGACAGCGATGGCTTCAGCGGCCAGCCACTTGCGTAGGGCTGTCCCAAGCCTTTCCCTCAGCTGATTTTCGCTAAAACAGCTGCTTCCGTTCCATTGGTGGTGCCCAACGAAATGTCATAAGGTTCCTACGTCACGCGTTGCACACGTTTGTTGGTTTCGCCCTTAACCTAAACCATCAAATTGCCACACTGGCTTGCAAAGCGTGAGGACATCATCTCATGCGACTCGGATGCTTGGAAAGTGACGACTCCCTGCTTTGGAGGTCTTTGAGACAGGCCGCAGATTTGAGATGTTGAGGTTTGAGGGATTAGGGAAGCAAGACGTTACCGCATATGTAGGACGAACATGCTGCTTACCGCACTGTTTCTTTCTGTCAGGTGAGCTTGCAGTGTCGGTTTGTTTTGCCATGTACTGTAAGGTGCTCATTCCCTGTGAACCCTACGAAGCTTCGCCCTCCAAAGCCTACAACAGTTCAGATGGCTCATGAACGATACCACCCTACTTCTGGGGGCGATGCGAAAACGAAACCACGAACGGACAGAGAATGCAACACAGAGAAGCTCTCATAAAACGCTACGAAGCCCCTTTGGGGGCTTCTGGACGCCAAGCCCAGGCAATGCTCTGATTCATGGCTGCGCCAGAGCGCGCAAGTCTGAAGAGGCCCGGAAGTGGTTTGCAAAGATGAAGCCACTGGGCCTCACTCCCGACGAAATAACGCATCTTGGCTGAAACGAGATCTCACGTTTGCGCGGGGGGGTGTTTCAAGCTCTGGCAACCTTGCAGTGACGGCATCATTGCTAGATATATGATATATGTGTACACACCTTTTGATGAAGTGAAATCTACTGCAGCAATTGGCAGTAATTCGTAGTTACCCCGTTTTGAAGCTTCACGGGAGGGCTGCGGGCGTCAGATACACGAGCCTCATCGAGAGCTGCGCACGCTCGGGCGACGCCGCTGGCGCCGCCGACTGGCTGCGAACCATGACCCAAGTTTCCCGGCAGCCTAAGCCCTAAACCCTAAACCCTAAACCCTAAACCCTAAACCCTAAACCCTAAACCCTAAACCCTAAACCCGAAGCGCTGGAGTGAGTTGGGGTGATTCTTGCAACGGTGGCTTTGGAATGCTTGCGTGGGTCGGCCCTGGGGCTTGCATTCAGAATTCAAGAGGGTTAATTTTCAGGGTTCAAAGGTTGAGGGATTTCGCGGTGAATACGCGCTACATAGTGGTTCATGCCTTGCGCTCCTGAAAAAGAGTTACCACATTTTTAGCACGTTCGAAAATGAAGCCATCGCCGAAGCCTGTAGAAGAAGACAATGTAGCACCGCCAGGCCCCATTCATGCTGGGTTTCCTTGTTGTTTGGCGAACCAACCCAGCTCGAACGATATGGGTGATTCTCCCAAACCTGCCAAAGAGGCCCGAATCTATATATATATATATACATATATATATAGGTATATTTGACATATGTGTATCTGTGTATATATTAATATGTCTAGATGTATACATGGATACAAATATAAATAAATATACATATAAATAGAAATAGAAATAGAAATATAAACATAAATATAAATATACATATAAATTTAAATATAAATATAAACAGATAAACATATATATATATACACACATATACATGTACATATACTCGAGGCAGCACTCGCCGCGGATGAGGTCGCCTACACTTCCGACTCTTGACTTCTTCTTTGCGGCTGCAGGTTTAGGGTTTAGGATTTAGGGTTTAGGGTTTAGGGTTTAGGGTTTAGGGTTTAGGGTTTAGAGTGGCAGGCTCCCTGCCATGAGCTTCCTCTCATTTTCTCAAGCCAGAACTCCGAACCCAGCACGGCTGCAAGACACTGCTAGTCCAACGGGTTCAGGGTTCCTCCTTTCGGGGCTTAGGCTGGCTCAATTCTTTCGAGAGGACTTGCGACGTTCCCTCTGCTACTAACAGTCCTTAATAGGGAGTATAATACCCCCGATTATTTAAGGACTGTTATTTGGCATAAGGGGGAACATCCCAAGCGAGGACTCTCAAGTCCCAGGTCCTTACAGGCTACGCCCGCTCTTCCGATGTCGCAGAGGTTGGATCACAGTCTCGGCGAGAGCAGACTTCAATACGTAACGTTTCATATAGAACAAAAGAAGAGGTTGTAAAGATGTAGAACATTTTCTGAAATTGCGACGTAAGAGGGTTTGGGCTGCTTAGGGTTACATAAAAACTCGAGGCCTCTAGACCCCAAGCTGGAGGGTCGCGCACCGGACCCCACGTCCAGGGAGCCATCGTGGTCATGCAAGGGTAGCCCTTCGCCCCCACCAGCCTGAGCCTGGCACCACCAGCAGACTCATGGCCATCAACACCCTGAACTCAACCACAAACGCGGGCACTTGTGCATTGTGCAAGTTCAAGGCTGAGGTGGACGGGGCCGGATGCGTGTGCTATACCGATAGTGCTGGCGGCGCGGGATGATGGCAGGCAAAAGAACAAGAAGTCCTATTTTCATCCCTACAAGAGTCCGGTGAGAAAAGCAAGTTGCGGGTGGGGCAGGAGGTGGGGGGTAGGGGCTCAGGGTTTTAGGGTTTGTAGGGCTTCAATTGTTACACAGTTGCCAAGAGGAGCCCAAAATTAAGATCACCCACAGCCATCCACCTTTTACGTCTCACTTGTTGTTTTGTTTTGCACCGTTAGTTGGTGTTTGGACCATCATGGTCCTGAAGCCGACAAGCCCTGAATCTCTGAACCCTGCAAACCCTAAATGCATTGTTATCCCCTTAGGTGAGGTTCGGGTCAAGCGGTTAAGTGTACTGCTCCACCCACCTTGGCGCCAAAGTTGCGGTTGAAACCCTCGATTCCTGGAAGTCCTAAACCCTAAGCCGCTCACATGCGACACGCATGCAGAAGGGTGCGAGGGTTCAGGGCCTAGGGACTCAAGGGGGTTGGAGCCTCTCCTTGGCGCACACCAAATAACTGCACTGAGCCCAAAGCCCACCAAACCCTGAAGCCACCTGTCCGAAATGATGCCTCCCCAAAAGTCGGAACTACGCGAACTTGAAAGGGTCCCCATTAATTCAGAACCTCAACCCCAGTAGGCGCAGCGGGTGCTCAGCGACCTCCGCTCTGCGCAGCTTGAACCAGACCTGGTGGCGTCTTTTGGACGCACGTGGTGGGGTGTGGTGGGGGAGTGGATGCAGGTGAGTACGCTTTCTGGCCCTTTCTGGGCTCTGGGTTTACTTTCTAAGCAAGTAACACCAAATATTGTCCCCCACCTTTCAAGATGGTACTGGGCTGACAAAGTTGTGAGGAAGCCTCTGAAGCGCCCAAGAAGCCGGGGCTTGAGGTTTGGACCCCCGAGACAGACGTCAACCGCAGACTACTGAGGTTTACCGCCCTTGCGGCCTGGCTGCAGGAAAGGCCTCGTGTGTCTACGCTTCCTGGTCTCTTCGCTGTAGCCTGTTTGGAGGCTGGGGGCTTCTGAGATTCATGTCTGGATGCTTCCAGCTCATGCACGCACGCACACACACACACACAGAGACAGGACCTTAAGGTTTTGGCTTTGACCCCTCATAAGCACGCCTGACTCCCAAGTCTTAATTGTTCCCATGCGCTTGAAGCTGCGATCCACACGCTTTCGCCCTGTCCAGGCAGCCCTGACTTGAAACGTTTATGGTTTTTGACATTTTTCAATTTAGGGTATAGGGTTTAGGGACTTGAAAAGGGTTTATAGTGTTTATGCACAAGCAAGAAAGCTACGGAGAGGGTGTTCATCTTCCGTGGCCTCTTCGAACTTGTGAAGGCATGTGGTCAACCCTAAGCCATGCATGTGGAAAAACCGCCAAGTGGACGCCTCAAAGTGCCCTTGTTCGTTCTTTCAGGGGCGCGGATCTTTCACCAACCAAATTCAACAAAGATGCAACCTTTCCTTCTTCTCCCAAGGGGGCTGAGTCAACTTGTCCAACCCCGAAGCGCTTGATGTCCTGAGCCACATCCCAGGCGACGGCGTCCGCGAGGGTGGGCGATCTGGAAGGGATCCAGAAGGTTTTCCGCAACTGGGCCTGGGTCTATAGGGCTTAGGGCCGTACTTGGGGTGCTGCATAGGTAACCTAGAACCCGTTTTGAGGTACTTCAAAACCGCCTTAGTTTCTGAAGGTTGCTTCTCCCATAGTCAGATGATTGCGACTTCCTCTGGTTTGTGTTTTAAGAGGATTGCGACTTCCTCTGGTTTGTAAAGCAAGGCCGGGACCCTAGCATCCCCTATTTCCAACCTGAAACTGATACTGGGCCTAGAAATCCCAAGGCCTCGGCCCTAGATTCAGAAGCTACTTTGAGGCTTTAAAGTTTAGGGTTTAGGCTTTTAGGGTTTTTAGGGCTTATAAACCCCAACATCATAGTTTGCTCCCTGCCAGTCCGGGCTTAAGTTAACGGGTTCGAGGCACTTGAGGAAGCTTGGTGCTTTCAGGTCCATGATCCTGAAGAAGCGCCAATCCCCTGCTTCAGAACTTGTCGCTCGCATGTACGTGTGCCGTAGCATGCAACTTGACCGCTGATCATGGTTGTGAGAAGCCTCAGATCAAGGTGTTGATGCTGGGCAGCGGGCTAAGAGGGAAATAGCGGTGCTATAACGAGTACGGACTGCCACGAAAACCCGAGACCTAGAACCCGAGATCTAGATTGACCTAGATGTGAGCTCTTGGCAGAAGGGGTCCCAAAACCTCTCTGCAAGTGACAAGGGTCCTCCTTGATTCTTGCTCTTTTAAATCATGCAGCAGTGCGGCCTCCTGTACTGCTTCTAGGAAAGGATGGAAAGATGGAGGGGGTTAAAGCACCGAAGCTGCCAAGCTTGTGAGACATTCATCCAAGGTGACATCTATGCGGCAGCCTTGCAGCCGCTTATTGCTTGCAAGAAAGACGACGGAGAGCCGAATCCATACAGATGCAACAAATCGTCGATACAATCAGGAGGCCTTCAGTTCAGTTCTTCCCAATCTTCCAAACCTGTGTAGTTGACTGGATGGGATGAATGAACCAAGTGTTTTTGATGGTAGGGAGAAGCATGGCATCTCGTTTTCTTCATCCGACCACTGAAGGCGGTATATATGCAAGTTGTTTGTAGGTTAGGGATCGCTGTCTGACGAGAAATGGTGGGGGGAGGGGGGGGGGAGGGGGGGGGGTGGGGAGGGCAGATGCCGGCTCAGCACGTTCATGACGTCGCTTGCGCGGGAGAGGGTGAAAACAGACATGCTGCCAGGCATGGGGATCAGTTTTTGTCCGGTCAAGGAGTTTCGTTGCAGGCCCGCAGACTTGCCCTAAATTTCAGCCCTTCCCTGCAAATCCGAGGAACCTCCTCACGTGGACGGCCGCCATTGCTGCCTGTTCACGGGTGCAGCCTCCCCGGGCTCGCCTCTCGCCTGGGAGGATTGAGGATGGAATGTTTTTTTGTGGGCTCTTCAAGATGAGCAGATGAACAACGGGCGGGGGTGGGGGGCCTTGCAAAGTAAGCTCTCCGAAAATTCTGTCTATTTTTTTCGTTTGTCTGGCCAATTCTATGTAAAACCAGGTAGACATTCAACTAAACTTAAAGTTTGTTTGCCGAAGCACAAGGCGTGGAAAACAAAGAGTCGGAACCTCTGGACCTCTGCAAACCACAGGTTGGGGTTCGTTCGGCCTTCATCCGTACCCACGGGCCTTGAATGGGACTATTTCGGTCACAAACGAACCCTGCGAACCTTCCCCTGTTGCAGGATTCGGCACGGGTGAGATGGGTTGGGGAGCAGGGGAGGTTCCTCGGTGAAACTGGCTGGGGGTCAGGGGCCTGAAGGGCACGGCCAGCACTCGACCTTTTAAAGTTTTTCTCCTAGGCCCGAAACCCGAAGCTTCTAATGCAGGGGTCGGAATAATTACGAATAGTATTCCCTCAGGGTTCATTGAAAATTATCATCGCACAGACTTCGGTCTACCCCCCGAAACCCTCTTGAAATTTTTAAGGCCCTTATATTGCCCATCAAACTTCGGCCTTTAATGTCTGGGTTTCAGAGGTTTAGCCCCTGACAGGCGAGGCGGAGAGGGCCTACCAGTCAATGCTTCAGCAGTCGCTGCAGCCAGACGAGGTCGGTGTAGGAGGGAGGGCTTTAGAGTTTAGGGTTTGGGGTTAGGGTTTGGCTGTGGCTCTGCATGTTTTCTGGGGGAAGGTGGCAAGCTGTATCTAGATAGACCCATGTTTGTAGCCATCGTTCTTGAAATACGCCATTTTGCATGAGCCTTTTCTACGGTTCTCTGGCTTGCGAATTGGGAAGCCCTTGTTAAACCCTTAACCCGAAGCTCTAAACACCTAGGGCTTCGGTTCGTTCTTCAAAAAGCACAAGGCAAAACATCTCAGGGAAGGTCAAAGAACAGAGGTGCAGGTCCAGGGGGCCAAGACTCTCCAGAACAAGGGTTAAGGGTTTCGGGTTTTAGGGTCTAGGGTGATGACCAGGGAACCCTTTTCTTTCACACATGGTTTTGAGTTCACAAGGGTGACGTTGGGAACGACGGTAAGCAATCTGAGCCTTTTTCAGCAAGGGCCCAACCTCCTTTAGGCCTCTGCAGCTAAACCCTAAACCCTGAACCCTGAACCCTAAACCCTAAACCCTGAACCCTAAACCCTAAACCCATATCAGGTCCTCTTGCGGCGGCTGGAGCAGGCCCATGGGCTGAGAGGGGCTCCAACGGTAGCTTCAGGGTTCAGGGCTTAGAGGTCTTTGTTAGAGGCTCTAAGTTTGTGCTCAGCAGCACTTACCTGGGGCGTTGGGGCCTGGCTTAGCTGATTTAGGGGTTGTGGGGTTTATCTCGAGTAGCCTACATACTCTTCCAAGCCGGGAAGTGACCCCAATTTATTCACCTGTTTCAAGGTTGAGGTTGCCAGGGCTTCGTGCTTATCGCCCTGGCGATTGCGCCCATAGAGCGCAAGCTGACAGCACCTTTAAGCGCTTCGCAGCCGGTCCCCCCAGGCCAGTGCTAGGCGGGCTCTCGACCGCGAGATCATCTTGTAAGTGTATCCTGGCAACGGTTACCAAAAGTCGCTTCAATAAGAAGCAGATCCTGCACACTCCAAACTCGACATGCACAAGTGAAACCAGATTACGGAATCTAAAAACTTGGTGCGTGCGGCAAGCAAAACGCAGAAGCACAAACGCACGGCAGCTGTGCCCCCATTGTCGCCTATCCCTCCAAAACTTGGCATATCTTGAAACAGATCGCAAGTCTGAACCGTCTGCCATGAGCCAGCAGGCCAATAGCCTGCTTGTCAATGCACAGAAGCCAACTGCATCTCAGCAAACAACAAGAGAGGCAGAGGAGCGCGCGTGGCAGCGAGAGGTTCATGTCCTTTTCACTTAGTAAATTCCTGTTGGAGCTGAAGCTTCGCAAACTATGCGTGCATAGGATGTATCAGTGTGACCAACTTGTGAGGGCTGACGCTTGCGAAGCCGAAGCAGGTCAGAAAGGTTATTTGCTTTTCTCCTGCGGCACTAGTTCCCAAACCTGAGAACCCTCAACCCTAATCCCTAAGCCCTAGGCGAGTCACTTCCCTCAAAGGCGGTCGGGCCGCGCCGCTTTGCTGAGCTCCGCCCCCGCGGCGCCAGGTACGTAGAACCGCGGCAACAAAAAGGTCCTTTAGGGTTCAGGCGTTTAGGGATTAAATTGGGTCTTGGGAGTGCTGCGGCTGAGAGTTTAGGGCTTGGGGTTGAGCACGGGTTTCGGGTAGGATTTGGGCCTTCTCGGGATGTGCACATGTCGGGCCTTTAGGCGTGTTCTGTTTGCGAGAAGGGTTCAGGGTTTGAAGTTTTCGTGGTCAGGCTTCAGGAGGGGCTCTGGTGCTTGAAGAAGCAGATCCATGTCACCCCGCAGCCGTGCTCAGCCAAGAGAGCTGTCACGCAGCGTTCGCGGCTTGCTGCCATGACGGACGCCTTGCGCGACGTGTACTATGCCTTTGCAGGTGGGCAATATATCACATATATATATATATACATATACGTATATACATTTATAGAGGCTACAGGCTACAGACTAGTGCTTTCAGAGGTCCCCAAGTCTCCAAGTTCTTATTCCCATGAGCTGGTACATTCCAGTGGGCTTATCGAAATATCTGGGACAAATAATGCTGCGGACAGGCAGTGCAGATTTCCGTACACTAAGATAATTTTAACGCTACGCGACCCGCCTCGGCCCGGCCCAGCGCATCTGCGTGAGCATGGTGATTCCGCAGCGCCCAAGTCGCTGGACCCCAAGCAATAAGGGTTGGGTTGAGGGTTGAGGGTTGAGGGTTGAGGGTTGAGGGTTCCGGGTTTATGGTTTATGGTTTGGGGTTTGGGGTTGAGGGTTAGTTTAGGGCTCAAGGTTCACGCTTTGGGGTTGAGGGTTTTTTTGGGTTTAGGGTTCGGCTTGGAGTGATCGTAGGGCTGAGCCAGGCCCTTTAAGGTTTAAGGAGAAGGGTGGGGGGGGGGGGGGGGGGGGGGGGGGGGGGGGGGGGGGGGGGGGGGGGGGGGGGGGGGGGGGGGGGGGGGGGGGGGGGGGGGGGGGGGGGAAAGGGGGTGGGGGTCCTGCTGGGAGGGGCTTCAACTGCCTCTGGTCCTGGCGAACCGTCCGCTTGCGGACCCCGGTTTCCCAGGGGGGGGTACCCATTTGAGGCCAAAAAAAGTTGGAGGGGTGCCTGTTCTGACAACCTATACACCTCCGGCCCGAGGCCTCGGCGGCTTGAGGGCAGCGCGTCGGAGCAGGAAAACTCCGCCTTTCACAAACACCTTATGTGAGCAAGCGCCAAAACCCCCAGCCATTCAATTAAGCAAGGGGTGGACACGAATGCCCAAAACCCTGTAAAACGATGGGAACACTTGAAAAGCGACACCCCGAGGTTATGAACCATTGGGTGTGCTATAGCGACACCTACAAACATCAAGCCCCTCTTGTTGCGTCCATTAGCACCTCGAGCCAGCCGCTCATGTGGCTTTTGGGGGAGGGGGGGGGGAGGGGGGGGGTGGGGGGGGAGGGGGGTGGGGGGGGGGGGGGGGGGGTGGGTGGGGGGGGGGTCGGGGGGGGGGGTGGGGGTGGTTGGCGGGGTAGGGGGGGGGGGTGGAGGGGGTGCAACTGCCTCTGGTCTGGCGAAAACCAGCCGTTGGGACCCTGCCACTAGGGGGGGTACCTATTTGAGGCAAAAAAAGGGGTCCGAAAAAGGGTTTGGGTTTGGGGGGAGGATTTGGAGGGGGGTGCCTCCTATACACCTTCGGCCCGAGGCCTCGGCGGATTATCATAGTTCCTGCGCACTGACTCGGCGGTGCACGTATTGGTGAGACCGTTTTTTGCCCTCAAAACCTGTCTTCCCATGTCCCCCCGCAAACCCTTTCGACACACAACCTAACAGCCGTTCGAACACACAACAAGCAAACTTACATCTAAACGCCAAGCTCTTTGACTCCCCAAAGCCCGAAATCTCTTTGAATCTTAAAGCCCGCGCGCCGTCTCAAGTCCCTAAAAGCCCTTCGACAACTGGCAGCCCAAGGCTATTACCCTCAACCCAAAAAAACTCATTCCTCGAAGCCCTATCGAACCCAAAAGACCCCTCCACCGACACCTCCGCAACAGCCTGATGAATACTCCGAAATAAGCGCCAAAAGCCCTTGAAATCCCCAAGCCTGGGTTCGAAGCCCAGAAGCTTGAGCCCGACAGGCGGCTCGGAAATGGATGGCCGCGCCTTCGTCAAGTGCCTCAAGGATTCAGGCCGGGTTCGGGTTATTTTGGGTGCGAAGCTTCCTAAACCCTCAACCCTAAACCAGGGACTTTCGATAAGTTGGGTGTTCTTGGGATGCTAACGAGAGCTCAGGGTTCTTCAGGCTTCTGAAACTTTGTGTTGGATGTTGTGGGCCTCAAGGTTTGGGGTTTAGGGTTTAGGGCAACCCCAAACTAAGCCCGAAACTCCAAAGCACAGGCTCTTGGCCTTTTTGGGCTTCAATACTCCCGGGTTTGATTTTGACTTTTTTCTTCGGGGCCTGCAAGCGCCCTGAATGTCCAGTGTAAGGTTTAGGGTGTGCTGAGTGGGGGGTTCCGGTAACTTAGAATCACAAAGGGGAAGAAAGCTCCCTAATAGCTGCTCGCACTCGTTGTGTTGATGGTTTGTGACGTTTTTCTGCGTCCTTAACATGTACCTCAGCAGGACGCTGGGCTCTTCGGAGCGGTTCTGCTTTTGTGACACCCTGAGGCTATGCTCATAAGTAGCATAATGTGCCTTTAAGGTACCGGACTCGAGGTCTGCTCTTTTCCTGCCGCTAGGCGGTGTTAGATACCTTGCACCGCTGCGTCCAAAGATAAAGCTCATGCACCAGGTCACCATGTCCAAAATTCCCCGGCCCTAAAACCTAAACCCTAAACCCTAAACCCTGAGCCCCTGAACTGTCCAAACCTTGGCAAGCTGTTGCCTCTTTCGGAGCAAGGCCTGCTGGATGACAGGCTGAAGACTGTCCAGGCCGTGCGACCTCTCTTTTCATTTCGTATAGGAACTCAGGGGAGCTTGTGCCAGTTGCACCCTAACACTCGGTTGGAAACAGTAAGCCCTACATGCTGTTTGCCGTGGCTTTTCGAAGATTCTGAAGACTCTTGTCATGAGTCAGATGGTTGTGGGTTGCAGGAGCTTATTCAAGCACAGGCGCACAAGGAAGGTGCATTCAGAGATGCAAGAAACCAAATCGGATTTGTCCCGAACACAATGACAGGCGAGCGCCGCTCTTGTCTTTGAAGTCCGTACCGCGAGCCCTGCCTCTAGACCCAAACTCTCAAGCTATCGAACAGGGGGTTTACGATATTCAGGGTACCTTTTTGGGGTCCTTAAGAAAAGGGGACCCTTACTATTTAGGGGTCCTATATGAGGGGTCCCCCTATCTTCGTAAACCCCCAACCTGGCTCGGAGGCCGATCTGATCTTTGCGAGATGCAGCTTGGCTCGCCTCATCGTCGGCTCGGGCGTATTAGTGCCTGATGTTGGCCTTAAAGTCCATATGCCCTGTTACAGCAACATCCCTACATTCCAAGCTTCTGGCAAGGTGCCCTCAACCCCGAAATCCTACAGTCCCAAACCCATCAACCCCCCCAAGACGATAACATACATACACGATCGTATCGCATGAGCTGGATACTTCCTATTCTACCCGAACCAACACCCTGGACCCTCAAGACCTCAAGACGATAAGAAGCCCCCAGGCAAGCAGAAGGGCGCACGGAAGATGAGCTTCGACAGGCGCACTCGGCTTTGCTGGTTTGGGGGCTTCGAAGGAAAGGTTTAGGGTTTAGGGGGGTTGCTGGATTGGGCCACCTGCACCGACGTAGATGCCCTCGCCCTTGCAGTTTTCGTTATGCTTCCCCCACAGACAGCCCTGAGCAGGTTCATCGGAGCCTTGCGTGAGGCGGGCTGATGCGGGTGGTTTCAGGGTTTAGGGTTCACCATGACAAGCCGCTTAGGGAAGGTGCGCAGGGGGGGGAGGGCATGCTCATGATGCTCGAGGGTTCGGGTGTGAAAGCCCCGGCCAGCACCAGCTGAGGCTCATGATGCTCGGGGGGTTTGGGTTTGGAAGCCTGGGCGCTAACACCAGCTGCCTCATGATGCTTGATGCTCATGATGCTCGTGGGGTTTGGGTGCAGCATGCGCGGGGGCTTGGCTC